CTACTAAAGAATTTTACCCATATGTTATCCTGTTTCTGAGGAATCAACAAGATAGGGGATAAGCATCACAGTTTATTTTAAAGTGAATTAATTTTTTTAGAGACTAATTAGAACTAAATATGACTGAAGATCTAATGAGTAGCAGGGCTCATAATCTCTTGGGGGTTACTTTTACTTAGTTTTTGTGTTAAGGAATTAGAGGTGTTGTTTCCAGAAACATTAGGTTTTCAGAGCAGAGCCAACCATATCAAACCACTGAAAGGTGCTTTGTACCATCACTGCTGGGATTTTGCTTTCCTACTTAACACTTTTAATATATTAAAATTATAATATATGATCTGCTTCAGTAGACATTTGCTTGTCTGATAGCTTTCAAAATTTCAGTTAAGACTGTTACCAGAGACAATAGAAAATGTAATATGGGTCCTTTATCCTGGAATTACAACATTCAGAGCTCTTTTCCTGAGAGATGTGTCAATCAACTTCTTGTATGCTGATGTCTGTGGCTGTGCTCTCAAAGAATTCTGACTGAATGGCTCTGCTTTCTCTGGTCAGTCTAGGGCATTTCCTTCAGTGTTAATGCATGCAAGCAAAGACAATAATAGTCTTCTGAAATGACTTTGAATTCCTTATGGCCTCATTATGGGTTAACCATCTATTATTTGAATCCTTCTAAGAATTTATGGAAGGTAGAGGGACTCTGGAAAGATTGGTTAAAGAAGTTTCTTTTGTATAACATTCAGTAGCTCTATTTTTCAGGCAGAGCTAGTAAGCAAAGAGATCAGCTTGCTTCCAAAAGGTAGGGTTCGATATTATCCGTATGATTCTGCCTCTGAATAAGGTACAGTAGGACTCATGAACCAGGCGGACATCTACATGGCTGGTTGCTCTTCTCAGCAACTTGTTAAACCATCTGCACTATAGCACTACAACTTCTATTTTCCTTTCCTCCATCCTTGGTAATTGCAGTGGGAAAGCCCTTCAGCTGCCGACCTCAGCAGCCCACTCCTGTGATTTTTGCCACCGTGTGGCGTTTTGGTAAGAAAAAGGGACAAAAAGAAGGGAGACATCTGCATTCTTCAGAAGAAATAGATTCCAAAGATATGAGCGTTATGTTCATTCTCAGTGTAATGAGATCCCGCTCATCAGTATAATTATTAGTGGCTTGAGGCCAAGCTATCCATTTTATCCTCGCTCATCTCTGACAGTGCGGGGCTGAAAAGAACCAGAGCCTTCTGCTGTCTAGTGAGCATCTATGTCAGGAGACTATGAATTTTAAATAGATATTTCAAATATTCTAACTTCTTTGAATCCCAGGGTCCTGTATAATCTGAGCAGAAGCAGAGTCTAGCTCCTGCATTGTCATGAGGATTAAGGGAGATAAGACAAATATTAATAGTCTTCTACATGAGGCAAATCTAAATGTAAAACTATTACATTATAGACATTATCAAATTATAGACTAATAGCAATAACGTTTAGTATACTAAGTATCACAAAGGGTGTGCTTATACATAAAATAATTTGTTGCACCTGAAACTCAAATGTAATGGGGTGTCATTTGTATTTTATTTGTGACTTCCCATGTGAAAGAATCTGTGCACAGGGGTGCCATAAGTAGGCACTGAAAAATGTGGATAGTAGCCGGGCAGTGGTGGTGCACACCTTTAATCCCAGCACTTGGGAGGCAGAGGCAGGTGGATTTCTGAGTTTGAGGCCAGCCTGGTCTACAGAGTGAGTTCCGGGACAGCCAGGGCTACACAGAGAAACCCTGTCTTGAAAAACAAACAAAACAAAACAAAAATGTGGATTGCTGGAATTCATGTTATATAGTTAGGGAAATGGTATTATTTTATAATTTTTTTTTTAGAAATATTGGTTTTTATATTCCTTAATTTGTTTAGCAGTCATTCAAGAAATCTGTATTGAACGGCATCAGAACTAGACAGTCATTTAAGTTCCAATGATACAGTATTGAATAAAAATGTCTCTGATCAGGGAATACTTGTGTATTTCCTAGTGTTGGCGTGTGCTGGATACTAAAGAAACCAAGCTGACCGATTGGCTAGTTAGGGGAGAACAATTACATTCTCACTCTCTAGTACCTTAGGACTTCCCTGGGAAATCCTTCCTCCCCTGCCCTGGAATTAGCGTCACTAACTAATGGGGAGCTGGAAGTATTCTTTTGGAAAGGATGACATCATCACTGAAGGTCCCTTTTATAGTCGAACCTTCTGCCCTTTAGCTTCAGTCATGGGTCAGGGTCTTCGGTATGGGAAACTCAAGCCAAGAGTGTAGTGAGTACTGCTGGATGCTATTTCAGCCTTATGCTTGAAAACCCAGGGGTTTTTCAGCTAGGCCTCCAGCCCTCAGCATACTGTGTCTTTGGCGGAGAAAGTAGATACAGACCAAGTCATAACAGCTTTTTGGGAGAAGTTACTGTCACACACTTTTCTTAAACTCTTCCCCCATATTCTGAAGAGTGGGGAGTCCTGAATGGTTCCCTAAAGCATGCCTACCAGTTAGCCTGTGGTTCTAAAATGCTACCTGTTCCATGGGATCTTCTGAATCTAAATGTTGTGACTTTAAAAACAAATTTGGATTATTTACTAAGGAAAATGACACATTACTATCCCACCTATTTTAGGAACATCTGGTTCAAGGAAGACCTAGCTAGATCGTATCTAGCTAGGTTTGGTGATGGGAAAAATCGAGCCAAATCTTGAATTCTGAGAATCCCAGAGCAATTATGTGAACTCGTTTCAGAAAACTAATAGGTTACAACTCCCATGCATTTGGGAGAAACTCTGCGGATGGAGGGGAAAGCTAGGTTGAAAAATGTCAAATACTTGGAGTTGTGGTGTTTTCACAGCACCCAGGCTGTCCAGTGTCCTTTCATCAGAGCCTGGATGCAGCATCCCCTGAGACAGGAGTCTGGGCACCTCTGCAGCACGTGTGCACAGCTGCAGCTGGAGCACTTATACCCACCGTTTCAGCTGCCACACAAGACAAATTATCACAAATCCACCAGTACTTGGAGGATGATCTTTTGAGCAACTCTCTTCCCTAAGCTACAGGGACATTGCATTGCTCTCGGTAGTGGTGGCAGCAGAAAGGGCAAAGAAAAGAGCTGGGTTCAGAACACAGTAATTTAAATCATTTGTGAGTATCCATTGTGTAAATTTTGCTCCTTCGGTAGCAATGGCTCTTAGTATATAGTGAATACGTGTCCAAGTTCCTATTTGAGTAGTGTTGTATGTATTTTATGAGATAGAATAAAAAAAATAATGTGCAAACCTCTACACCTTTGATGGCATTATACACATTGATTCTTGCATAGCAGCTTAAATAAAGGATTAATGAAGACATCTCACAAAGCCCATAGTTTTTCAATAACTCCAGGCACCTTTTCTGCAAAACTCTAATAGCAAGAGTGGAATTACTTTCCCCCATCTAAAGAAGTCCACTTTGTGTATCTTCGTAAGACTCAGACTCCATCCTAGTCTTACTTCAGAAGGGGTATGTTTTCTTCTTGTTAGGGTTCTGCTGCCTGTCTGGAAGAAGTGACTGCTAGCTCATGGTGTATTTCAGAGGCAGTTGGGCGAGGCTCTCAGAGGGAGGTCCATTATCTGTGACTCCTTCCAGAGGGTAGAACATAGAAGTAGGAGGTGTAGAATTTCAAAACAAAACTTAAGGTAGTCTTAGCTTCCCAAAACAGAGACTTTCTATAGGGATTACAGAACTTTTCAGTAGTAATGTAATTACCATAAGCTACAGAAGTCCTCCACTCCATCATGTCTCCAGCAGACAGACCCTGAGAGATGTCACTGATGCTACAAGGGAGGAGTCCCCAGGAGAAATAGCAATACCCAGTACCTTAAAGAGAAAGACAAGTGAGGGTCACAAGGTTTCCTGTTTTCACAGCACACTAGGCTAGACAGAGTACTGCAAAGCATGGCAATGAAAAAAAATGATCAAATTTTGGCTAGAGATAAAAATGCTGCAGCTGAGAAACTTCCAGAACAACATGTACTTGGATCTGCATTAAAGAACAATTCTTTGAGCTTTTTAGCCAAATGACCCAGCAGGGTTGATAGTGTGAGGCACAGTTTACAGTTGTATAAATATTTAAATCTATTTTCCAGCCTATAAAGCAAGTAGATCGGACTAGTTTTGAAAAGCCACACATCAGAATTCACCTGGCTGCCTTGACTTACTGGGGACACCTATCTTGTTCTAGCATTCTTTGTTTCAAAGGAAGGCTTTCTAAGAAGCAGGAGGAGAACTCTCAGTGTTGAAAGCAAAGCAGGTTTACATTTCATGGAGTTTCCGAAGGCAGGGTCCGTTGTCACAGTATCCAGCAGCAGGTGGTCTGTTTCTGCAAGGCCTGTCTGGCTCTGGGCAGTTCTGACTCACTTGTAGCCCGAGGTTAGATCCAATGAGCACAATCACCTTTCATCCCAATCCTTTCTGAACTTGGTGCGGAGTGGACATGGGATGCCATTACAAACACAACCTTCAAAGAAAGCTTGCAGCTTGTTGATCTCTGTTCTGAGCTGCTGTCTTAGCCTGTTAGATGCCACCCCAGTCACATGACTTCTGAGACATGGTAGTGCTGTTCTGGTACTTGCTAAATGGGAGCTTGAGCACAATGTAGTTAGCTGGGTTTACTGAGAGACCACACAGGCTGTATAAGAGTAGCATTGAGTTGGGATCATGGCATCTCACAGACCGTCAGCCAAGAGTTCGGCATCTTGACCTTTGTCTATGTGTGTCACTATTCACTGGATAACTATAGACATATTATTTAACGTCTCTGACACCCACACTGTTCATTGGTCATGAATTCGTCCACTGAATTTCCCATCTTAGCAAAGTCTCACCTGATTCTTCTGGTCTGTTGTGTGCTTATGGCTATTTCTCTTGACTCTACTTTTTACTCTACTCCATTATTCGACTCCATTTATTCAAGAGAACATATATTTCTGTTCTCTTCTCAGATTGCAGAATGAAAAATGGATGAATGTGAAAGTTGGGGACATCATTAAATTAGAAAACAACCAATTTGTCGCTGTGAGTACTCGCTATTGTATGACTTGATCTCAGATTAGAATAACATTGGCAAATTCACAAGAGTCTAGAGTCACCATTATACATTAGTACAATTCTCGACTGTAAACACTGTAGAAGAGTGGCTTTTGGCAACACGGTGACTCGGATAATGAGGAGGGGTTTTCTCTCTGCTCCCTTAAAAAACACACAGAAATGCAGAACAAACTAAGTCAATATGTGAATTATTTATGTAAATAATGGTTTTAACAAACATTTTTATTATTCATTCCATTCATTTACATTACAAAGGATATCCCAGTTACCCCCTTCACCACCCCCATTCCATGATACCCCACTTTCCAGTTACCCCTCTGCCATCCCCCCATCCCACATCTGCCCTCCCCAAATGTCCGTTTCCCTAAAAATGTTTTCATACATTTAGAATGCTATTTCTTAATATTACAACTGGTGTTTTAAAAACTGTACCACATTTGAAGAAAGCACATTAAAGGTAAATTTATGTTATGGTTCTAAATTGATAAAATGTGAATTAGTGATCAAATGCATCATAATTTATATTTGTAAACAACTAATGTTGTGATTTCTTAAGTAAAAATCAATTTAACCATTGAAATGTAAATAGGGAACCACAATTCAAGTTAAATTTTAGGTGATAAAAATGGAACAGATCAGAAATTAAAAATTCAAATTATTATAGCGATTTATATGTATTGGGTCACTTATTAAAATTTTTGTGTTGTATGGAATTGTCTGAATCAAGTTATATTCTTTATTAAATTTGAGATATTTTATAATGGAAAGATATAGCCCTAAAATCTCTTTAAAAGAACAACACCCAGTCGGGAATGCTCGACACTCCATCTTAGAATCACCTTTCTACCGCCGCACCATCTGTGCGCTCAGTGTGCAGAGGAGCATGCGCGAAGAGCATGCGTGAAGGAGCTTCTGGGTAGACAAACCATTTGCAGATGAGTTCACACTTCAAGTGGCTAATTCTCTGGCATCCCTAAGGTTTTGGAAAATAGCTGGGAACCCAAACAAAACTAAGCAAGATGTTGTCAGAACAGCCAAAACAGGTCTCAAAGTGCCCTGTGGTTTGGGCCCTTCGAAGGCTCGGATAGTCTGCCAGATTCTCATTTATAGTCAATTTACTTTTATTTCATGTGACTTAAATGACACATCTGGTTTATTTTCCACTCATTAATGATTGGGAACATGACAGTAGGAGGTAGCACCTGTCAAAAGGACACCCTCTATAGGTGCGGTTGAGGTAGATGGTTAAAGGATCTGGCTGGGAATCAAATGTCTGTTTACTGTTTGCAATGCCTTCTGTGAAATAAGTCCCAGGAGACAAGTATAAGAGTGCATTTTGAATTTTAATTGGTCTAAATTCAAATGCCTGATATGTGGTTCCCCCATTGGACACAGCAGATGTCAGGGTGCCAAGGCTTACAATCCTCTCATTTTTCCAATGGAGGGATGGCACCAAACTTAGACTCTCAATACCCTACATCCCCTCACTCCCTCCTCCTCTGGCAAAATACAAGCAAGAGTCTTTGGTCCACATCCCAAAGCTCAGCTCTGACTGTGTTATCAGTGAAGAGATAACACTTTAAAAACTTTCCATTATTCTCTGCTTGGCTCCTGCCTTTTGGTTAAAGAAAAGAAAAGGATCTGTCAGGTTCTCAGAGGCACCACAGAGCCTCTTAATGATGTTACTTCATGCAAGGCTTTCTATTCCACATCTACAAATAGTTTCAGAGGCAAGCAGAGCTTTTACAGATGAAGTGCTGTAATCGCCAGAGAGGACTGGTGCATCTCCTTGGTGCTTGGAGGCAGGACCTGCCAATGGGGCTTACGTCTGGATAGTGGCAGTCACAGATCTCTAGAAAAGACCCATCTAGGGCTTTCTACTCTGGAGTAGACCTTAGGAACCATGCTCATGAAGATAATGATCACAGTGGCTAAGACTGCCCCATACCAAGATCACTGTTCACTTTATATGAATTAACGAGCTTACTGCTCTTCTTGACCCAGTGAGGGCAGTTTCTGTACTGTTTCATTATTTCCATCTCTTAAATGGTAAGACAAAGGCTTGCTTTCCTCAAATAGCTTGCTAATGGAGAGCTAAGAGTCGAATCAGGAACACTCACCCTGACCCCCACTCCTCAAGCACTACAGTCTGTTTTTCTCACAACAGTTGCTTTTAGTAGGATTTTCCTGAATTGGGGGCTCCAGACCTGGCTACTGGAAGCCAAATGATCTGTTGACTGCTCAGTTTTAGTGCATATCTATCTGTTCTAAGTTAGAACTTTCAACCCAGTTTATATCTGCTTATCTATAAATTCTGGACAAGAAAAGAAATTTGTAGACACACTAAGAATTAGGTATCTTTGTTTCGTGTTTCTCCTCTGACCTAGTTTAGTTTCTCTCTGTGCTGTGATAAAGACCATGACCAAAAACAACTTGGGAGGGAAGGATTTACTTCATTTTACAGCTTAAAGTCCCTCCTGAAAGCAGACAAGGCAGGAACTCAAGCCAGGCAGAGACCTGGAGGCAGGAGCTGACACAGAGGCTGTGGAGGAGTGCTGCTTACTGGCTTGCTCTTCATGACGTGCTTGGTTTGTTTTCTTTTACAACCCAGGACCTCATGCATAGGTACAGCACCTCCCACAGTGGGCTGGACCCTCTCACATCAAACACTAAAAAAAGAAAGAAAGAAAGAAAAAAAAAGCTTGCCTAGAGTCCATCTGATAAACATATTTTACTCAATTAAGGTGTCTTTTCCTAGATGACCTTAGTTTGTGTCAAGTGGACAAGAACTAACACACTTCCTTGTCCCACCCTTTCTCCTTCCCTTTGCCCCCTTTTCTGTTAATTCAACAGCACAGAATTTGGGGATGAATTCTAGACCTCCAAGTTTTGTAATTCATATGTCACAACGAGATCAGCATGCATTAGGAGAACCTTTCTGGAAACACATTAGTGTTCTCGATGGTGCTAAACTTTGAACCTGGAGCTGGGCACGCTGGTCTCATTCACACTGTGCACACGTTCAACCCTAGTGCTGGCCTTGCTTGCGTGATCACTGGTGGGAACTAACCTATGACTGAACCTGAGCATATTTGGACACTGAGAATTTGGCTGTGGGACACATGTACAAAAGCCCCCCTAATTGCATGTGCTTTGCATGTTTGCTGCAGTTATTTTTTACCACTTAAGTTGAGAATAAGGAAATATTTTTAATAAAACCCAGCTTCTTGTGAAAGTATAAAGGGACAAAACACAATTTTCTCCTCAAAACTGTAAGTAAAAGAAGTGGTCTAAGTCACCCATTCAGAAGGAAGGAGTCTGTTCTGCCCAGAGAAAGGGCTTGGGTGTGAAGAAGGCCCCTATATACACTATTATCCCTCTAGCTTTCTTTTTGTTACCAACCACCTTTTTCTCATTTTCTTTTATAATCAAGTTTTTTTTTTGTGTGTGTGTGTATGTGTGTGTGTGTGTGTGTGTATGTGTGTGTGCCTGTGTGTAGACATATGAATGCAGATGTGCTTGGCTGTGCTGGCAGATGTGTTGGAGACACAGAGGAGACACCAAGTGTCCTTTTCTATTCTTCTTTTTATTCCCTTGAGAGATGGTCTTTCACTGGACCCCGAGCCTGCTGTCTTTCAGTGAGGCTGCTGGTGTGCACGACTCAGTGGTCTGTAGCACTGGGATTACAGTGATAGCTAGTCATGCCTGGATTCATGGCTGCTAGAGATATGAACTCAGGTCCTCATGTTTGCAAAGCAACTGTTCTTAGGCACTGGGCCATCTCCTCAGTCTCCTGTGTTATTTTTAATCATTTTTTTTAATTGAAAAATTTGATCACAAAAGCAAAGCAAAACAAAATTATATAACTAGTACATAGTGAATGATTTTCAACATATACTAACTGGGTCTGAAATTTTAAAGTTTGAATTATGATGTTACCTGTAATCACACACACTTTCACTTTACGATTAAATTGTCAGGTTTGACTCATGATACATGAATTTTTAGAATTGGTGTTTTGTTCTGAAAGTACAGATAATGTACATGGCAGCAAAGACAAAGAGTGCTGCAGTTTGGGAGGTCCTGGGAGCTCCCAAGGTGGCTTGCAGTTGTTTCACAAAAGCTTCTTTCCCTCTGCTGTGGCTCTGGTATCCCAACACTCACACACCAGGAGGTTCTGAACAGCAGCAGACAAAACAGACATACCAAGCAAAGTGAGACATTTCTGTTACTCACAGATGTCATCCCAGCAGCCACCAGCCACCATAGCAGAGTGTTTGTCTTGTGATCAGGGCTGTGACCTGTTTCTAGTCCCATAACTTAACCCTGGAGCATTTTCAAGGATGATGGTCACACTTTAGTCTCAGGTTCTTCAAATGGGCATGGTGACACTCAAGCTGACCTCTGATGGCTACTGACTGCATATGAATTAAGTTAGTTCACTGCTGGATACAGAAGAGTCCCTTCCCTCTTCCCTGCTGGGTGAGGCATGACATACAGAGGCTTCTTGTCCAGACATGGAGAGCAGTATTATCTCCTCACAGATTTGCATAGGCAGTGATTTGCATAGGTGATTCAGTTATGAGAGTGTTTTATAAGTTCTTAAAGAATTTTATGGCTGTGGATTGATACCATTCCTAGGTATTTTCTTTTATTCTTTAACTTAACAAACATTTATACCCGTAAACCCTGGAGACAATGTGTTTGGCTCTGAGGACTCAAAGATATCCAGTAGATTATTCTCAAGTTTCTTCTGATGGGAATACTGCTTGTAAGCTTCCACTAGGTATTTGTTTGGGCTTTTCTCTTGCCCAGGAAAGCTGGAGGAAAGGTGTTTGTGTTGGAGCATGCTGCATGCTGCTTCCTTTGTGGGAGTTGTCACTGAGTCCTTCCGTCAATAACTGATAAGAGAAAAGGCTAAGGGTTAATGGAAGGTGGCTTTGGCCTGGTCCAGCTAGGGATTTGAACAATCACACTTTCTCTCCCTGTTCAATGTCTCTGCTGTGGACTCTCCATATTTTGCTTACTTGCCCACCACCTCTGACAAAAGGTTGACCAAGGACTAGCAAGGCTATTGCTACAATTATTTGCCCGTTCCTTTTCAGGATTATTGCAGAGTGCCTTAGAAAGTCTAACTGTGTGCTGATGACTTCCACAGTTTACTCTGCTGGATGTACACTGTCAATCCCATTCTTGCACACACCCTGTTTATTGATAACCAAAAGCCTCTAAGCAATAGGGAAGAGAAGAGGGAGGGAGTGAGGAGAGGCTAAGAGATATTAAAGGCACAGGTGACATGAGAGGGTTTAGGAAGAGGTAGGAAGGTAGGTTTCTAGGGAGATAGAGTAGGGACAGCTAGGCAGGAGGGTTAAGTGTGTTTTAGTCTGGGAAGTTGGGTGAGTGCTGGTTGAGAGACCTTAGCCACTAGGTGGCAGTGGAACCTTAGTCGCTTGGCTGAGCGGGCTGTGGATCTGCCATTGGTTTATGGCAAAGGAAGCATTAAGGGAGCCAGATTCAATATTGAACAGTGACATTGCATTATCATCTACACAGAATTCTGAAGAAAAGCAGCACCAGATACCACCAGGCATCTTAATTTATGCACCATAAAGAGTTCTAATTATGCATGATTACAACAAAGGCATTTTAGCTTTTGTTTGAATTTATCTTTCTTTCCTTAAGATGGAGAACCATAGCTTCAAAGGGCATTTACCTTTACCGCTATCATGCTGTCTGCCAGGACATAGTGAAACTTAAACGCATGACTCGAGATGAGGGTGAATCTACCCCCACAGCACAGATATTTTCTTTTTTTTTGGGTCAGGATTAGGTGAGCTTTGGTACAAGAGTGGGCTACAGTTGGGCATGCTCTCTGTGTGCGATTACACGGAACACACCGAGGGGTTCATAAAGCAATTTCTGCCTTGACTGCTTCTGTGGTGATTCTTTCTGAGCTGAGAGAGAGTCACCCGGAGGCGAATGCGTTTGTTCCTCTGTCATGGAGCCTTCATTTAGACAAAACCACGCTCATCATCCCTCCCACTATGTTTTTGAGTTGATAATTTGAACGATCCAGACAATTAGCTGAGTGGATTGATTTTGAACTTAACATCGAAGACTTGAAGATAAAGCAATTGTAATGTTTCTCAAAATAAAAGATTTTTAGAGACTTAGAGTATTAATCATCCAAGACACAGGTAGAGATACGTTAGGCTAAAGTTTCATAATACATTGCTGAAACTTTAGGTCCGTTAGTTCTTTTTAGATGAATCCTTCGGAATTACATTTATTTTAAAAATAAGAATTTTAATTTGAGAAAAAACAAAACAGTTTCTAAACCAGCCAGAATTCTAAAAGTGAACTGTGATGTCTTTTCTTTCCCCCCTTTTTTTTTGTGTGTGGGGGCATCTTTAGATGTTTTAGTCAGTAAAATGTAGAGAATTTGGATTTTATTTTAGTATTTTTGGGAGTCTAATTGGAACATACTACCTTCAAAGCTTGGTTTTATAACACTGGTCACTGCTGCTCTTTTTAGTTTTTTCCAATATAACATTTTTATTGATTCCCTGGAAATTTCACATCATGTGCCCTGATCAAACTCATTTCTTGGTCCTTCCATCTCTCCCCCCCCATTAAGACCTCCCCATGTAGGTAAAATAAAAAAGTAAATAAAAATAAATAGAAATAGAAAAAAACAAACCGCAAGTCCAATGTGTTATCTGTGTACTACTCACTGGAACACGGTCCAACTCTCTGTGACCTGCCCCTTAAATAGGACTGAGCCCTTTCCCGGATGCATTCACTCCAGCCATCAGTTGTGGAGAGCTACACTTCAGTCTTTCCATCACACTTCCTATCTAGGATGGCTCAGTTATTAAAGGCTAGGCTCACAACCAAAACTGGAGCACTGTCTTTTCTAAAGCTCCATTTTCCAGAGCACCCTCTGTGCTCTTTGGGTGGGCCCCACTTTCTCTCGTCTTTCTTATGTTTGGCTTTTCCATCACTTCCTCATCTCTCTGCCTTGCATCCAAGCTGCCCTTGTTTACTTTTATTTCTTCTTTTCTCTGGTTTTCCTTCTGTTTTATCTGTGTGTTCTCACCCCTTTGACTCCTTCCCTGCTTTGAGCTGCTTCTGACACCAGCACGCAAGGAGGGTTAATTCGCTCATTTATTGGAAAGAGATCCCTGTTTTTCATAAGAAATTATTAAATCTAGAAAAATAGAACTCATATATGACTTTTGAAACTGGCAACACAAATCACCCTGGTCATACCCTGATGGTCCAGAAGGGTGTCTGCAAAGGAGTGGGAGAGTGTGCCTCCCTCCTCAGTGTGGCTGGGGCTACGGAGGGGTGATGCAGGAGGGAGAGGTTTCAACAACCCTGATTCTTACCTGTCCCTCTGTATTGGTTTCTCAACCAGGCTGACCTGCTGCTTCTGTCAAGCAGTGAGCCACATGGTCTCTGTTACGTTGAAACAGCTGAGCTTGACGGGTGAGTATTAAATTAGAGCGGCTGGTTAGACTGCGGTGTAAACTAAATGTCCTTAGAGGTCAGACTTACATTTTCCTCTGTATTTCCTTGTAAAACATAGAAATCTAAATCGTAAAGTCCTTTGTTGTTTACTTGGCGGTGATTCTGAAACAATTTTCCTCCTGAATTTGTTTGGAAAACCCTGACTTGTCTCTTCAGTGTATTTTCTTTCAGTGTGTGAATATGAATAATTTTACACCAGTACACTTCAGTGAGGTTCCTTTTGGGGTTTTGTTTGTTTAAATTTCAATTTTTAAGGTAAATGAGAGGGTGGGAGTAAAGGCTCCTGAGAAAAAAGGCTGAGACAGTTTTAAAGGGCAAATAAAGACACAGAGAGAGAGATAAAAGAGAGGAATATGACGCTGCTTTGACACCAGCTTTGAGAGTCCAGCTACTGACCACTTAGCTGTTCTGTTTCAGAGGATTCCATTGTCTGGCTGACATCATTGACTGCTTCCATTGTATAGGCACCGTGTATCTGTATGTGCACAGCTCACACTGTATAGGCACCTTCTATCTGTATGTGCACAGCTCACACTGTATAGGCGCCTTCTATCTGTATGTGCACAGCTCACACTGTATAGGCACCTTCTATCTGTATGTGCACTGCTCACACTGTATAGGCACCATCTATCTGTATATGTGCAACTCAGGTGATTTATTATTCAGTCCTGATATAGGTACTGTATGAGACCTACATACAGAACATGAAGCCAAGGGTCAGACAGATAAGTAACTTCCTCAAGCTGATCAAGAGCAAAGGCAGGACTCAAGTGGACAACACAAAACACACAGTTTTAGCCATGTTTCTCAAGTTGTTGCCATGTTGAGATACTGGAGTAGTTCATCCTGCATAACCCAGATTTGGGCAGGACAGTTTTAGACACAGCTAAAGCAGTGTTAAGAGGAAAATTAGTAGCACTGAAGCCGTTGATACACTTGAAAAGAGAACTAGCCTCAAATCAATTGTCCACTCTGTTATGAGAACCTAGAAAATAGCAAAATAAATTCAGTGTAAGCAAGAGAAAAATTCTACAAACTTGATTCAAACAGGGCAAAGTAAAACACTGGGACATAGTTGGTTCTTTGAAAAATCAGTTAATCTGCAAACAACAGGCAAAGCAGACAGAGAGAAAGAAGGGAAGAGACAGATGAGCGACGTCATTAACAAATGGGGTAGTCAACAATGCATCCTGAAAATGCCAGCTGGATCGTGAGAAATTGCTATAATCAGCTGAACACACATACATTTGACAACTTAGTTGAAATGGACCATTCCTCAAAAAATACAGACTATGCACTCATTATGAAACAGATTACTGAAATAGTTTTATAGCTAATAAGGAAATTAAATTCATATGTAAGAAGTGAAACTAAACATTTTAGGGAAAAAGGGAGAAAGACTTTGAGGTTTGGGCTAGTCAAAAAATTGTTAGATTTGACATAAGAGTTATTACAGAGAATGAGGACTTAGCTCAGTGGTAGAGCACTCACCTAAGCAAGCACAAGTTTGGTTTCTCTAGAGAGAAGGGAGCAGGGGAGTGGGGAGGGAGGGAGGGAGGGGGTGGGAGAGTGAGAGTGAGAGAGAGAGAGAGAGAGAGAGAGAGAGAGAGAGAGAGAGAGAGACTATATTTCAACAAATTTAATTTTTGATCCATGAAAGCCCTACTAAGAGGAAGTAGTAATGCGTTACTAACACGTAGAAAGTATTTGCAAAGTATCTACCTGAATTACCTTGACTATATACAGATGCTTTACAAACTGAAAAAAAAGAAAAGCAATGCTAGTTAGGAAATAGGCATTTTGTAACACTTCAATAAACATTTGACCAAGAGGACATACAGTGGGCAAACAAGCACATGGAGAGTTACCCAACATCATTAGTGACATAAAAATGAATACCACAATGCTCTGTTACCACAGATCTGTCAGAACCACGAGCACCAGCAACAGTGACATTTCCAAAGCTGGCAGAGATTTGAATAGGTGGAGTTGCTCTCATGTTACCGGAGGGAGCATACAGTGTCATGCTCATTCTGGAAAAATAATTTGTTGGTTTCTCAAAAACCAAACATAAAAGTACCACACAACTCAGCAATTTCAGACTGGCAAACTGGACTTCTATTCAGAGAAATGAAAACTTACGTTTCCATAAACTGTATAGTGAATACTTAGGGCACATGGTTTTCTTACATCACAAAAGGAGCAACTCAGATATCTTCCAAGTGAACAGTCAAGCAAATTGGAGCATAGTGGGACACTGTTCAGTGACAGAAAGGAATGGCGTATTAATAGAGCCAATGACCAGGCTGATTGATTCTTCAGAGGATTGTGCTAAGTAAAACCAGCTAGTCCTAAAGGTCACATGGTTTCATGGAAAACAAACTAGTGCTTGTTGAAGAAGGAGTGAGGAGAGAATTCTGAGGAAGTGGGCATGGCACTCCCTTTAACACAATATAGGAGAGACAGCCATACGGTCCCCAATGGCATCTGCTATCTAATGGGTGTGTGTGATTCTGTTCATAAGAAGAGCAGCTCTCTGTGATCTGCCCAGGTTATTGGTTGTACCATTTAATACCCAAGGGTTCCTTGAATTGATATTCTAAGAAGAAAGAAGGCTGCGTTCTTTTCTCCATTAAAATTTCGGCTACTATAAAAGTAGCCATGGCTGTCTTTTGCAAACCAAACTCCATAGATAGCAGGTGCTGGAGTGATGCTGGCCTCCATTTGGCAATGATGTCCCTAGTGCCAGTGTGTTCTATAGTTCATATAGTAGGTGTGAGCAGGCTTGAATGAGACCATGTTTCTTATGTTCTGTATTCATTTGAACACAAATGTGACGCAGATCTCTGTGTTGTTACACAGATGCACTGTGGGTAGAATGCCAGCTCCAGATCATGAGGTGCTCACTTGCTTTGCTGAGCTGGTATGTGGGGTGAGAGAGACATTCAAAGCCAGGTTCTGTGGGTCTCCTCATTTAGTTTTTTTGTGTACTGACTGCTATCTACACAGTTGTTACATGCTTTTCTTACACCAGAAAAGGAGCAATTCAGTTATCTTTCAAGTGAATTGCTGAGCAATAAATAATACTAAATAATACTAATAATACTAAAGTCAGAGACTGTTGGACTGTTTCATATAAAAATTCATGTCATGTCTTTCATTTTATAGGGAAACAAACCTGAAAGTTCGTCAAGCACTACCTGTCACCTCAGAACTTGGAGCAGATATTAGTAGCCTTGCAAAGTTTGATGGTAAGTACTTTAAACAGACAAAAGGAAAATATCTAAAAGCCAGAAGGCAGTATAAGAGCTAATAATCTGAGATCCTGTAGTGGTTTAATATGCTTGGCCCAGGGAGTGGCACTATTAGGAAGTGTGACCTTGTTGGAGTAGGAGTGACCTTGTTGGAGGAGGTGTGCCCCTTTGAACATGGGCTTTGAGACCCTTCTCTTAACTCCCTGGAAGCCAGTTTTCTCCTGTCAGCCTTTAGATCAAGATCTCAGCTCCTCCCACGCCATGCCTGCCTGCATACTGCCGTGCTCCTGGCTTTGATGATAACGGACTGAATCTCTGAACCTGTAAGCCAGCCCTAAGTAAATGTTCACTTTTATAAGCGTTGCCTTGGTCATGGTGTCTCTTCACAGTAATGAAACCCAAACTAAGACAGAGCCCATCTTCCTTCCTTCCTTCCTTCCTTCCTTCCTTCCTTCCTTCCTTCCTTCCTTCCTTCCTTCCTCCCTCCCTCCCTCCCTCCCTCCCTCCTTCTTCCCTCCCTCTCTCTCTCCCTTCCTTTCCCCCTCTCCCTTCCTTCCCTCCTTGCTTTCTTTTACTTAGTGGGAGAACACAAAATTCTTCAGCCATTGATATGTGTCACTTATGCTCATGCTAAAGGCAAGCATGGCTTTATCAAACCACCACCTGGCACATCCACGTGTCTTCCTTTGTGGGTCCCACTCTCATGCCCACAGTGCCCTTCTTTTGGTAGCCTTTTGCCTCCTGGAACTTGGCACAAACTTGCTGAGGGTAAACATGTTGGCATTTTAGTTCCAGTCCTAGGCCTGGCCTTTCCAATGGCTCTATTAGACAATGACTTAGACAATGAATCCCGAAGACAGAGCTCCTATATTTTGCATAGTGACATAATGTCTTGAAACCGATAGGCAGTCAATGAGAACAACCAATGAGAAAGTTATAGTCAGCCACCAGTTACCAAATGTTTCAGACCATGGTTTTCTCATCATCACTACCACCACCACCACCACCATCATCATCTTCATCATTGAATTCAATCCAGACCCACCTCTTCAGCAGGTTCTAGTTTCTACATGTTTCAGGCTGTATCTCGTGCTAACATTATTTTAAGATCTACAGAAAGTCTCCCCTAGATAGCTGCATTTTATGGTACCACAACCACAAAGAAATTCCTTTAAAAGTAAAAGAAAGAGACACTAATTGTAGAGTTTTGCACATCACGCAAAACTGAGGAAGACTGAGGCTTTTCTGCCATCCGTCAATAGTCTTTTGCGTTACTAACTTGCAAGTTTGGTTTTGGATATCATTTTTTTTCTATATAGGTTGGCTTGACCTTTTGGAGTCTTGTGAACTTAAGACTCTCCTTCTGAGGTGTTTTCTTTGGGGTTTACTGAGAAATAATAAAGATGAAAGGTCTTGGCAGTGCCCCTTGAGTTAAAGGTCAGGAAGTTTATATAAATCTTCTCCAACACACATTTTAGAATGTATATGGTCTGTGCTTGGCATTTGCTTATAAATTCTGCCTGGATTAATCTCTCTTAAATGACTGTTGTGATAAATGTTTATAGAAAAATATTCTTCCAAATTAAGATTTAATTTAGAAGAGTAGCCAGGAAACTTTGAATAGCCTAAGAAATATTTTGATTATAATAAAACAAATTACAAATTTTCTAATGAAGTAATTTTTTCAATGAAATGTTACTATTATGTAAATCCAAGAAAAGTAAATTGTATTCACAAATCAAAATTCTTCTTAAAATACTGTGTTGACTATTTATGGAGCCCTAAAAAGGCAATCTAAATAGAACTTGCCATTACTCATTTCTTCCCTGGCAGAACTGTACCTTTATACCTTCATCAACCTATAATGAGGCACAAGTCTAAGAGTTTTAGTTTTCCTAACCATTAGGAAGCATAAAGTGGTTGTTTTAACTATTTCCTTCCTTTACGTAGATTTTGGTCCAGGTAGCCTAGACTACAATGCTTTTATAAGCAACCCTGTGCTCTCAGTGGTGTGAACAGAGTAAAATTAATTTCCTGATCATGCAAATTCTGAGGTGGGTGGGGTAGATAATCCCATTTTGTAGCCATGGAACTTGTACTAAGGGTGAAGTTGAGATGGAGACACAGTACCTCTTACCCATCTTTCCTTTGGTATTTCATGAGCCCTGGTGTTGTTGTAAGGAATATTAGGAAATGACAAATGTGGGTATTTGTTGAGGGGTTCCTGACATGACCATGGTTCCTGATCTGCCATGCCTGCAACATCTAACCATGGCATCTTAGGATTTTCACAGAGAAAATGACAAATCTTTTGGAAGCCCAATCTCCAGTGTTGTAAAACCCACATAGATCTCCTGCCTCCTCAGGTCAGAAGCCACACCTCTTCTTTCTACTGGCATCCTTACCCTGCTTCTCAGGATCTGTGCAGTGTTCTTGACAACTACTCAGGCCAGAGACCATGCTTCTCTTGCCTCCTGTACCCTAATCCTACTATTTTTAGGCTCACACCTGCCACCCAGGCACACATTCTCTGCTAACTCAAATAAGTACCTGCCAATGAGGTCAGAAGTCACAGCATGACTTAGCCTAGCTAGGATCACCTCAGCTGCCTCACATTCAAATCAGGACTGAGTAACCCCCACTAAACTTCAAACCTCACGTAGCTGATCCAGAACCAGCCAAGCTCCAATTACAGCAAGCAGAGACTTAAACATCCACTCAATACAGCAGCATCAGAGACCCATACCAAAGGCTGCAGCTGATGAAAGATGTGCAAACCAATGTAAAAACCAAGATTAGGCTGAGAAATGACTCAATGGGTAAAGTGCTTGCTGCACAAACATGACTAGGGCTTAGATCCCCAGAACCCATGTTCTGGGATGGGTGTGGTGGCCCTCCTCAATCTCGGCATGTAGGAAGCTGGGAACTTCTGTGAGCAAGGTGGCCAGCCAGACTACCTGAGGTGGTGAGTTCAGGGTTCAGCAAGGAACTCTGCCTCATTATACAAGTTCACATTCCTGAACACAAACATATGAGCACACATACACTCATGCACAGCACACATACATGGTCCCAAATGAAAGCTATTTGTACAAAACTCCAAAAATTAATTGAAAAAATATATATTCAAAGAATTTTATAGAGGGCATGGACAAATTCCTGTAGGGATTTAAAGAAGACAGTGATAAAGTGCTGAATGAATTCCAGAAGCATACACACAAGCATATACCCAAATCAGGAAGTCAATTCAGGATATGAGGATAAAATTCAGTGAAGAGATAGAATTGCTGAAGAAAATTCAAAATGAAATTAAGCTGGAAATGAAGAGTTCCACAAGTGAAAGAGCCGGCAGTGGAAGCCTTGCTAAGGCATCGTATGGAGGTGGAACATCAGCCCCAAACCTATCATTGGAATTGGATTATCGAAACAGAGAAAGTGAATGCCTAGCACCCGGAAATAGGCAGAACAACAGAGCCTATCGCCATCACTCTTGGCTGACTATTGTCATCAGTCTTGGCTGACTGTCTTCATCATTGTTGGCTGACTATCACAATCAGTGTTGGTGACTATCGCTGTCACTCTTGGTGACTATCACTATCACTGTTGGTTGACTATTGACATCACTCTTGGTTGCTCATCAGAACCAGACAGTAAAACTCTAGTGCTGAAGACACCTCATGGATTTGTTTATAGAACACAGAACAATAAAGCTGGAATTGAGCAGGAAGTTTTTTTCCTCTGGCTCATGTTCAAATCACTAGAAGGTACTGGAAGGTATTGGCAGGTGCTGTGTAGCATTTTGGGGAAGAAAAGTCATCAATGATCTTACCCAGCTGTAGATTATGTATCCAACAATGCTTACACATGTCCACTGCTATGAGAGTATTCAGAGGGTTATCAACCACTTTGGGATGAATTCGAGATCTCCTTCGTTGGAATGAATTCATGCTTGGTGGTATAAATGTGGCTAAAAGCTAGGGAGGTCATTGGCTGTAGAGTGAATCTGCCACTGAAGTTTTGGTAAATTGGACATGCAGTTAAACTACCTTTTGCAGTGGAGTGGGCAACTGTCAAAGCTGGGTCTTGCAACTCTTCAAGGTGCTGAGAATAAGTGGCCATTGAGTGCTCAGCCCTAAACAGGACATCTTTATCACCACCTTCAAATCCCAGTAGCATTGTGGAAGAGAGGGTGGAGAGACTGTAAGAGTCAGAGACTGGGAGGAGTTCTGGGAAACATCGTCTTTTGGAAAGGAGCTGGCTATTTCAAATATGAACAGACTATCTGCACAGGACCTGTAGGCACACAGAAAAGGAAAACAGAACGGGGCTAATCATGAAGAAAGGGTTAATTGAAGTATTAGAGGAATAAAAGAGGGTTTAGGGGTATGAATATAATCATGATTCCTTGCATACAGGTACAAAATGGCCCCAAATTTAAAGTAAGGTAAGCTGATTATGAGAAATAAAGGCTATCTCTGTATATTTCAAAGTATCAGATTCTCAGTGCCTTAATTTCATCAGGATCAAGAATTTAGAGGTACTGTCCAAACACAGACTAGGAGCAGGTTTTGGTTGGTGAATCTGTTTATTTGAAGAGTTCCTATACAAATAAATATCTTATCCATTCAAATATCTGAAAAATATGTAGTCTGTTGAACTTTATAAGAAAAATATGTAATTTGATCTAATAATATTATAATATATAAAAAATTAGTTTGACTAGATTTTTCATGGTGTCTTATGGGAATCAAACAACTTTTATAAACAAACACATGGAAATATTTGGTAATTACATAGTTGTAAACCAGACATTTTTACACCTTGGGGAAATCCCCTAATATACATGTGCTTGAATATGTTCAAGAATCTTTTGTATATTGTTACTGACTGGACTGTGGTCTGTGTTTTGCAACTAGTGACACGTTTACATATTTTGTGTGACTGTTAATACCAGTTCTGAACCACAGAAGGGTTGACTCTTTAGTTAGGAATCTTTG